CTCTGAGGGCCCATACAGGGATCCTTGAGCCTTCGAACCTTTCTGAGAACCTTAACTGGCCTCTGACAGTTCAGCCAAACTTTTGAGGCGACAGACTTTGCTAATCCCAGGCCGGCATCTGAGGGGTCACAGCTCACGTGTCCCTCTGAGGTCCGCAACACATGTTTATTATGTCCCTACGTAGGGTCCTTAGGGATTCGACACAAACCCCGAGGGTTCACACTGTTATCCGAGGGCTCCAGGCTCACCCTGGGCCTAGTCTCTTAGCGCCCGCCGCCCACACTGGCTTCTGAGGGCCCCACCTTGCGCTCGGAAATCCCTAAAGCACCACGTACACGTAAATATTTGAGGTGACCCACGCCGATCTCCGGGATCCTAAGCATGCTTCTGAGAATCAGCACTGACCCTGAGTGGCCTGAAATGGTCTGGAAGTCCCAAACCTATCTCTAAGGGATCCCTTGCCGCTATGCCGTGCGTAACTTTTGGTTCCGTTTAACAGTTTTTGTTCGCGTTTGCAGCGCTTCCCTTCACACGAAAAACGAGAAACTTTTGTTCACACTCGAGTGGACAAAACACTTCCTCTCACTGGAGCAAAGATGAATTACTTCCGATTTACACTTCCGACATTCATTCTCCGCCGAGTGCCCAACTTAGCTACAATCGGCGGCTGGGATAAGTCCTATGCATTTCACGTAAAACCTCTGCATGCATGCGTGAATGGAGGTTTTAGCAGGGTGATCCGATTAAATGAAATGGAGCGTTTTTCACCTTTTTCTGGGTAATGATCATGAGCGTCGAGCGTCTGCACAGGGGTCCTCTGCAGTGTGTCGGCAATCGCAGCCACTATACATATACTATAATTCTACCAGTCGTTTTTTGTCATGAAATTTCAAAATTTCGAACTCTTCTGTAAAAAAAAAAAAATAAAATACATAGCTAGAAGGAAACCTTTGTCACCATCGGATTCCTTGCACCATTGCGCGTCGAATGATATGTAAAACGAGTGAGTAAAAACTGGAGAAAGGCAAGTGTTAACACAAAAGTTGATTTTGCCCCCCCCCAACCGAAAATCTCTGGCGACGCCTATGGGCACTCCTGACCATAATTGGACATCCCGGATGATTCCACATCAGTGTTCGGTTCCCGATCACTGGTTTTCAGGAGAAAATGTATTGGATGGTACGACGGGCCCCTTGTACGGATTTTGGGGGTGCAAAAAGATATGTTTGCACCCCCATGTTTTTCGATGGGGGTGCAGCTGCACCCCCTGCACCCCCTATTCCGCCGCCACTGCCTGGTATACCAGACACAACACCATGCACTATTCATTGACTCCCAGGGAGGTAATGGCTGCAGGCTTTGTGGCGAATCGATGGGACTTGCCTGTGATTTGTAGAATGGTGGAATGGTCCTTGGAATGGTGGACTGCGGAATGGTAGACTACGTACACAGTGGAAAGGTTGGCAATCAACTGGGACGGTGGATGAACATCGGAAGTTAAATATGTGGGCAAGGCTCAAATAGACCATCGTTTTCTGCAATATTTTAACCATAAAATGTGGACTATGAATGGGTGCTTGGCAGACTGGCAGCTTTGAATTCGCCAAGACGTGTGGACTGTGGACTAATGTGGATCTGTGGATAGGTAGGTAGAAACGTGGATTCAGTGAGACTTACGGCTTATCTCCCCTTCTCTAGCCATGTGTGCGTGCGTGACCCATAATAGACAAGTTTGTCCTTTCATGCCGCAAGACGCGTGCATGGCAGACGGCACCTTTCGCCTTGGGCGCCGGGCTCAGAAGTAGCTAGTCTGCCGGACACGCTTCCGGAATGATAGATACATGGTGTGTCAAAAGTGGAAATAGCCGGTGCGCCGTCTGGCAACCCGGCAGCCCGCCGCCATAGGGAAATTCATGTTTTTTGTCGCTTGTTCGCTCCTTATGAGTCACTTGATCTAATTAGAGCTTAACTAGGAACGAGGCGGGTCACTTGGACGTATTCGGGAGCCGAATGCGGTGTTTTGGAGCCAATACCTGGGAAACCCTATCCGCCCAATGCGAGTTTTTAAGAGTCTGCAATCTGCATGCCCAAATTAACGTTGAGCGCAGCCGTTTTCGGTCGGTTTTCCGCGACCTTGTGGCGAAATCGCCTTATTTATTCAACCAGGGTGGGCTAATTCACTTAACTAGGAATGAGGCGTTGAAGAGAATTGTTCAAGGAATAGAGCTGTGCAAAAATATTTTTGTATTGTTAAAACTGTATCCGCCCTCGAGGCTCGAACGATAAATATTGTTGACCCATTAGAAACACATCCCTGGAATGCGTTTGGACTTGGCTGGATCTAATATTAGCGAGTATCTGCTAATGCAGTTTCTTGGCTTACACAGTACGCACACAAGCACACATACTTCCTGCCCTTGGCCATTCCTCACTTGAATGAAAATTTTGCTGTAATAACTATTCCCAGCAGTTAACAGGTTTTAGTGCAGTGCCAATTCGGAACCGTTCAGCGCCGCCATTCGGCGGCCGGCCCGGCGGCGGCGCGGCGCCGCCGCTCTGGCAGGGTGTTTGACTTCATATCTCTGTTGCTAGAAAAGTTGTGGACCGATTTACTTGATTCTTGCATGAAAAGATCCGCCATTCAATTCTTAGCAGGTAACGAAAATTTGACGTCAATTGCACGATCCGCTGCCCATATTGTGGTACTGCCATCTATTGACAAGGCTGGCGAACTAAAGCCGGGCGGCTATTTCCACTTTTGACACACCATGAGGGTGTGGGTGTGGTGTAGCAGCACCATTCGAGCGTGGGTGTCCAAAATTGGCACACGGGTGGTGGCATGTAACTTAGACGGTAAAATGGGAAGTTGAAAAGTTGGGTCTCGGACGTGAGAGACATGTAGACCCGTGCCAATCTGGTCTGCAGTTGGTGGGTGACATGTTATGATGTGACAGGGGGTTTCAACAGCAGATTAATGTTACCAGTATCAGCGTTGTACATAGTTGACTGCATCTGTAACTTGGCATTGACCTGGTGCTTGCGCTGAGCAATAAACACAAAAAAAAATGATTAGAAAGCAACATGTCCTGCGGCGTAGGACTGAGCTAACACTTACCCATATTGGGCACAGACATCTAAAGAAATTTCACTCATTTCAGGCACTATTTCGTGAGCAAATGGCATTTTCCATTTCAAAACTAACTGAGCTGAATGAGCTCAAACATCGTCTCGTGCTTACCTTTTAGAGCGTTAAACGCGTTATTTCAGAGATAAGCATAGTATGGATGGATTATGGAACTTAACAGCATTCTTTGAAATGGGTTCAATGCTTTTCCATGCTAACCAACCATAAATTCAATGTTAGACGGAGTGATACTAGTGATCGAACTAGTAATGATAAATTTATCAATATTATTCCATGAAAATTTGTATCGCGTTTTCGTACTTCCGTCTACCTACCTCAGCGCGGGACATATTTGGGTTTCTCCTCTCTAAAGCCCCGAGTGCAGCAGCTGTGGCGTTGATGTATGGACTGATATTAGAACGGTCCTTCGTGGGAGCAGTGGACCCAGAAATTGGACAGTGTCGTTGACTGCTCACCCCTATTGTATCGTTTCCTTGGCCAGATAACTCTATGTTGAAAATAATTTATAATGACAGGGGATGATTTGTGGTGAATTCTATTCGGTCTGGTAGTCTAAACTCATGTGATAGAAAATATGTACACCTTGTCTCTGTTTATATTACACAAGTGCTTTTATTTTAGTTATATGCCCCTTCAGCCCTCGGCTGGCCAATTGATATATGAACGGGAAGAGCTGCAAATTGCATCATCGGCTAAAAAACACGTCATCGTCACGTATCTTGCCATCAATCTATCGTCGGAAATAATTGAACTGGTGTGTCCACAGCGAGTATTTGCGTTTTCTTGAGATGGCTTATTAGAAATGACCTGCTTACCTGATCTGAGCTGACCTAAGGCTAAAATTTACACCATACGTGAGGAAAAAGATTCACCGAAATTTGTGTCAAAGCCTGAACGAGGACACCAATAACCTTCCTGCTCAGCTTCCCGCGAAGAAGTGAAAGGTAAATGCTATTTAAAGCTACCGAAGAATGACGTAATCAGCATAACTTCATTGCCAATTACTCATTTCCAAAAATCTGTCTAGCTCATGCTATACAACACATAACGCAAGTCAAATAATAAAACACTAATATGCGACTGGATTTGACAGTAATTTCCTGTCGGACGAAGTCTGAGTCTCATACGCTGTTATATTCCCAGAACTCTGCATAATCAATGCAACTTTAGTCTCCCGCTGCCTGGCTTTGCTCGCCTGGGGCAGAACAGAACCTTTGTCGGCAAATAGCATCAGCGTAATTCATGCCACGGTAACAGCACTGCTAGAGTACGGTATGACATACCCCTATCCCTAGGCGACGCCAACAATTCAGAAATGCCGTTTGATGTACTGGCCAGGACCGCCGCCCTTGTATGCGACATAATTGGAGTATCTGGCAGCAATCACCAAACTTTGGTTAACACTACCTTCACAGGAGGTACAAGGTTCTTACATATGGCGACCAAGTATTTTGTGATAGGTGTATCCCGAGATCGTAGCTAACATTTATATTGCTTAAAATGTTCCTATTTCTCCCGGTAAAAGTCTACTTGATTTATTCACACCATTGACACTTCCTAAGTATACATATACATGAGCACACCCTGTGACCCGGACCCAGAATGACCTTTCTCTGAATGTTTTGGCCAGAAACCCTTATCACAAATACGTCGCTATGAAGCCTGATTACGTCGCTGAATTCCTTATGGCTTATGTGATGCAGCCACTAGTTGTGCATGCATATTAGTAGTAGATATTTCGAGGCATTACTTCTAGCCTTGCAGTTTTCCTATTTAAACCGCTGCATTTAGTGCAACCGCTGCAACCGCTACTCAAATGATTAATTATATCTTCCATCTCAGTTCAAATGAAATTGGCATGCAAGATGTATTCAACATTCACAGAAATATGGGACCAAATTGTTGTGGACATGGAACGAACATCAAATGTTGAAACATACATTTTTATAATAGGAATATGTAAACTCGTAACTCTCATATGTTTCGATATAGACGTGTTTTCTCGGTTGCTAAATAAAAGGCTGGGCAATGTGGATGCTCACATCACGCGCAAATAATGGCCTAACACCGATTCATTGATAGCAAATTACGAGCGCTTTCATTCGATCCTCTCAGCCAGTGTAGGTGCAGTTGCAAGCACAATTGCTAGCACAGATAACTCCGGAACTTTGAAGCGCTCGTTCAGTCGTTATTCCCAGCCTTTGCAGTTGCAGTCTCGCGATGTCAGCAGGAATATCTTCCGTTTACAGTCGCTATTCTCAGGCCGTATGGGTGCAGTTGCACCCACACTCGCGGTGCCAGCACGGGTGTCTGATGCTGCATTCAATCGAGTCGCAGTCGCAGTCGTACGTAGTGAGAGTCTCGTTGACTACAGTCGGGTGCCAGCACGGGTGACTCGAGTCGCACGGAGTCAGGTGGTTGCAGTTGCACTCGACCTCGCGGGTGGTGCTCATGTTGCTCACGTGGATGTGGAAGCAGCGGTGGGCAGGGGTGCAGAAGAGGCCCTCGCTGCTGCAGTCGCACGTGTCTTGGCAGTGGAAGCAGGGATTGCCTGGGTTGCAGTTCCGTTCTGGAATAGAAAATGAACAATGGTGGTCAAAGCAGGAAGCCCGGGCTACAGCTCTGCTCTGAAGCAAGGGATACCCGAGGATTAGCTCCTACTTTGAAACAACAAATAGCAATAGGCTAGTTTTTCGACCTAGAATAGAATGATATTTGGCATTTATTTTGTAATTTCTTTCTTTATGTAACAAAAAATGAGATTTTGATCGGGCCAAGCTAAGATCTGGTGATGTTTTCAACGTTCTGGCGTAAGGTGTACACTTATCACTCAATGTGTTTTAATAAAGTCAAAGACGTATCTCTGGTTAAGCCCCGTCTTATCATATGAGGTCCTCAAAACAAACAAGACACTATGAATTTGCAATTAATGGCTACTTACTTTGTCCCCGTGCATCAGCCGCAACGAAAACAGCCACTATTACGGCGGTAAGACACAAAGCAAGTTGTGTTCTCTTCATGATAACTGTTCGAAGTTACACACCCGTAAATAGGTTGCCTGCGGACAGCGCCCAACGAGCCGGTTTTATATGATTTCTGCAAGACCTATTCAGGCCTAAGGCTGACAAGGTAATACGCCATAAGTGTAAAATTGGCCAAATTTCAGTCGTTTTGCTGGTGTTTTAGGTGTCAAAGTGTCGAAGTGACGCCCAGGTGACGGGAGTCGAGAGCTGAGACGTTTTTAAGCAACAACCACTTTTCCTACTGAATGTTAGTAACTTGCGGTCATCGGTTCTTCACATCGAGGGTTCCGAGCAAGACAACCCTAAGTGTCATTTTTTTCGAAATTGAGTTAAATATACCAGTCGAATCAGCTCGACGAGCCGCGTCGGATGCAAGAACAGCCGTACCGCTGAGTGCGTCCTGTGCTGAGATATAGAGTGCAAGAACAACCTAAGTGACATTTTCGACACTTAGGGTTCAGGCAAGAACATCCTAACCGTCGTCCTAACACCGTCCTAACCGTAACCGAACATCCTAATCCTAACCGATTGGCAGTCGATCCAGCGCCGATGCCTCACCGAAAGCGGGCCCTGGAAGAACATGAGCAAGGTGACTATCACTCGTGGCGAACCAGAGGTCAACGTAGAGATAGACTACAACAACCAAGAGAAGAGCATCCGGATCCAGGCTGGGCGACATAGGCGCGGGAGCCGGGGGGGGGGGGCAGTGGGGGCACCTTGCCCCCAACTCTGGGGCCGTGGGGGGCGGTGCCCCCACAGCTTTGAGACGGAATACCACACTTTTTTTGCAAATGTTTTCTTTTTTGTTGAAAAAGCCGAGGGATGAAAAACAAGTGGCCTAAAACCGGTTAGAAAACTAGATTTGGGGGTACCCTAGGTTGATCTCTATTATGGTGTGCCCCCCCCCCCGTCGGAAAGTAGTTCCCGCGCCCCTGCTGGACGAGGTCGAAGACGACACCCTGGCGACACGTCGCCTGCCATCGAGCCAAAGCAGCTCTACAGCAAGCGGCTGCCCATCAGTGCGGAAAAGTACCGAGACCTGATCAAGCTCTGTGACGACGGGAACATCCCGGAGCCGTTCCAAGCGGAGTACAGGAGCTTGCCGCACTCGGCGCGGCAGGAGGACATTCTCCCGGAGAGTGATTTCGACGATCCGGAGGAAGAGGAGTGAGAGTGAGAGAGTGAGAGGAAGGACACCGCAGGGAGCGTAGCAGTGCAGCGTTTGTTGCAGTTCGATGTTCAGTGTTGCAGTTCATGGTGCAGTGCATCACGTAGCAGTGTTTGGCCACATTTACAGCCATAAATACAGCTTTAGTGACGCAAAGCTAGTGTTTTGCTTCGACGGTTAGGTTGTTCTTGCATGTGAACTGTGTAGCCGGAGTCGACATTCTGGTGAGCAAGAAGAACTTAAGTGCCTGGCATTCCCTCTAAGTGAGTATTTTATAACATTTTTTTGGTGTCATAACATTGCGCGCTCCCTACTTGCACAACACGCGATGTATCGTTGCACTGGCTCAACAAACAGAATTAGAATTCAGTTTTTTGCTTCTCCTGTAAAATTCAAAAAACAACACTTAGGGTTGTCTTGCTCGGAACCCTCGACATGTGGGATGGGGCTGGGGGGTCTAATCATTCGTAGCGCTCCATAAGCCCTCTTTACGACGGAACGCTTAACACATTTGATCCGTTTGATCGGTTTGGTATCTGAGAAATTATAGTTATTGTTTACTAGTACGTTTTTTTCGAATGGAATGTCTATTGCTTGCTTCTTTGCTTGGAAATTTCAGCCAATAGTGGTGCAATGTTCCGTCGTGAAAAAGACTATAGTGACGGAGAATTGAAAACGCATGCCACATTCGTTTCATATATCGCCTATACCTGTCATTCGGTGTCCATCCATCTTGTTTGTGATTATGGAAGAAGCAAACCAAAACTTCTTTCTGAATCCCCACAAACAATGACATTGCATTTTCAATATTGTGAAAAAAACATACACCTGAGCAGGATCAAGCAGCCAATTACATACATTACATTCACTGCCAGGCAGAATATACATTCTTGGACGATACCGCGAAAACGAAAGATTTATATCGAGAGTTTTCAAAGGATTTCATGCACGAGGCCTTGGCCGAGTGCATGAAATTCTTTGAAAACTCGAGATAGAAATATTTCGTCGCGGTAGAGTCCTAGATATTATTTCTTGTATGTTTCTTAATATCGTTCGTTATTTGCTTAAAAGAGGCCGAAATATGCATAAATAAAATACAGTAACATTAACTACACGTTAAATACTGAAATACTGGCAGTTCTGATTACTTAAAGGAAAAGGGCCACCTTTAACATGGGGATTGAAACTGAGATAGCCATCTTGTAGCCCGTGTCCGAAAACCTATCTGTCTTCCTCCTTACGGCCGAGTTCGGCCTCCATTCGTAGTTATCGGCAATTTTAAAAGAAAATACGCCAGGAATGCGTCCTTATCCCAGGAATGCGTTCTTATCCGACAATACAGCCACCCGCGGCGAGGCTTTGGTTTTTTACCAATCAGCTCCAACCAGCTCAGCTTTAACCCGCGCCCTGCTGGGGGGGGGGGTGTTTGAACACCCCCCCTTGTGGTTTTTCGCGAATATCTCAAAAACGGCGGCGCGGAGCGCCGCCGTTTTTGGTACACCTTATCATACATCAATTCTACACATGTTGTGAAAATTTCAGACCAAGGTCATTCAAGGTCAGGTCACCAGGTCACTTGAAGTGACCTCACCTCATAAAAACTTTCAATGTCTGTCATAGCTACACCGAGTGACCGATCGCTTTGAAACTTTCAGCGATTGCTAAGAGCAATAGCATGTACAAAATGTATATCTCAGAATTTTGATATCGATGACCTAAGGTCAGGTCAATTTTGCGACCTCCCCATTATAAGTCAATGGGAGAAAATTGAAATGCGCGTCTTTTGGATGAAAGACATTATAAACACTCCCAACCACCGAATTACAAGTGGTTTAGACACACTGAACATGAAAATGGTGTCCGTGACCCTTGTTTATGCCCTGAGGTCATCTTAGGTCACGAATGGTATCTAACAGTTTTTCGCAAATAACTTTTGATAGAGGCATGCTAAAGCGATGAAAACGCCTTAGATGTGTTCAGCTCGACGATACGGATCGACTGATATGCAACATGACCCTTTCCGGTCAGGTCATGACCTTGACCTGAGGTCAAATTTTCAAGTTGACCTTTCAAGGTCAAATTATAGTTCATTCGATGCGTCTTGACGAGAGGAACACGATGCCGGTTAAAGTAATCTCGTACAGGTCTTGGGTCAAAAGTTATTGCAGAAAAACTGTTTTCAAAAAAATTGGCTATTTTTGCAGTTTTTGCCCCCTGCAGGCAAAACCGTTGACGTTAGGTCAAATCTGAGAGAATTACTCAGAAAGGGCGTTAATAGGGCTATCGAATGCGCTTTTCCGCGGCGCTGTAGCTCTATTGGTTCCCGAGTTATGCGTTGGCTTCTTGGAAATTTTCGACATTCGACCTAGAAATCGGCGAAATTTTGCCTTCAATGACCTCTGGTGACCTGACCTTTGACCTGACCAAAAAATTGACCGAAGTGATTTCGTCATTATTTTTGACGCTCTTTCGAACGCCGCCTTCTGCGTATCGCTACGTAGCCCAGGAGCCGAGTTACAAGGGGGGTGTTCAAACACCCCCCCCCAGCAGGGCGTGGAAATCCAGGACCCCCAGCCGGCCGCGGGTTAACCAATCAGCTTATCTGACACAATCCGACGAGTCTGTCTTCTGAACGCTGATTGGCTTGAGTGTGACGTCGTCGCTATGCCATCATACAGTAGGTGCCGTAGAGAGTATCAACATAGTACCAATATGTTAAATGTAACATTATAAGTCAACTGATAATGTTTTTTCTCCGCGGTGAGGGCGAGCGCCGCCCATGTGATTGCGTCATACCGCCCGCTCGTCAGGTCCGCATGACCCGAGCCCGGGTCATTCGCGCTCGCAGCGCCGCCGAGAGCAGTCAGCCACTGAGCCGTGGGCTGAGCGCGGCGCTTCCTGCTTTTCGGTCCAAGAAAGGTGCCAGTCTCGCCGCTACACTGCTCAGCCGTGCGCTGGTCCAAGATTGGTGCCAGTTACGCCGGCCGATTTTTCGTTGTAATGCTCAGCCGTGCGCTGGTCCAAGATTGGTGCCAGTTACGCCGCTACACCGCTCATGCAGCTGCGCGCTGGTCCAAGTTTGGTGCCAGTTACGCCAGCCGAAATTCGCGACACGAATGTTCTGTAGTCCCTGTTCTGCTGATCTCCCCCGTGCTATAGCAGCGCATTACTCTCAACGTAATGTAACTCGCTGGGGCTTCCGTGTATGCAGCAGATGTAGTTTTGCTAATTTGCAAGCACGCTGCGTGTGTTGCGGACCATGTGCTGGTGTTGAAGCGAGCTGCGTCTCACGCGCTCCTCAGTTACCGTTTGCGGCTATTGTAGTATTGTATGTTGTGTGCCGGACATGCGCCGGGTGAATGCATTTGTTTTACTTTTATGCAAATTTTTATCTGCACTTAATTTTGCTAAGCTTACCTGCCTACGCATCGTTCTCGGGTTCGTGGGGGTGATGGGCTTTTCCTCACCCAAAGGCATTGTTGGAGTGCACAATACATAGACCCATAATCACAACAACGCCTTTGCGAGCTCGAACGAAGCGTAGAAATGTGACATTATAAGTCAACTGATAATGTTTTTTCTCCGCGGTGAGGGCGAGCGCCGCCCATGTGATTGCGTCATACCGCCCGCTCGTCAGGTCCGCATGACCCGAGCCCGGGTCATTCGCGCTCGCAGCGCCGCCGAGAGCAGTCAGCCACTGAGCCGTGGGCTGAGCGCGGCGCTTCCTGCTTTTCGCCATCCACCTCCAGTGGCGGCGGAAGGTAATTTTGGATGGGGGTGCAAAGTTTTCTCAAGGGGCCCCTCTGGAAGTTTTGGGCCCCCCTTCTTTTTTGGGGGGGTGATTACGGAGCGAGCGAAGCGAGCGAAGT